CATTTGTGCTTCTTATTTGAATTTTCATGGCAGTATATTTTGTTGTAAACATGCTTTTACTGAATTTTCCACATTTCCTGTTATTAGGGTTCTATAGATTTATAAAGATATATATTTTGCTAATTGCTGGTGAAGGTTCTCAGGCACCCAGGTCATAGTCATTCCAAAAAAAATAAAAGTCCACTGGACTTGGTTTCCAAGTTTGAAAACGTTTTGCTTCCCATCCAGGGAGCTTTTGCAATTCAAAATGTCAGGAATACTGTTTAGTTCGAGGTTTTATATTCCTGACATTTTGAATTGAAAAAGCTTCCAGGACTGTTTCTAATTTTTTTTGGAACAATTTGCTAATTCAACACATTTTCACCCAATTATGTTTGTGGTTTTGTTTTTCTGTATTTTCCTTTCTGTTTTTCTATTTTTTTCTTATTAAACTTTTATTCTTGGTTCTATCTTTTTTACTTCACAGTCTTATTAACAGTCTTATTGTAATACTTTTTTATATTCTGATTTTCAAGAGCCATTCCATATATCAATAGGATCATAAATCATAGTTTTGTAATGATATCTACACTTTTTCAAATGAGGCTAATTGCATATTACCCTCATTAAACAAGGACCCTATATACTTACAGCAATATGCATGTTTCATTAAGGGAATTCGATTTATTTAATTGCATCAATCTCAAATTTTATTGAAAGTGCAGTCAGTAGAAGGTATATTGCAAGACTGGACACAAGTTGCCATCTCCTAATCAACCAGAGAGGGGCAGCAGTACCACGCTGCATATGTGCCCTGTTCCTGTGCCACAAATTTAACAGGGTAATTAACCAGTATGGCAGATCATAGATGTATTTAGTCAATATCCTAAAACAAAAAAATATACGGTTGTATCGATAACACTCAACTCGATATGCCTCTATGGACACAGATCTAGAAGACTTAACACCTTAGTGTATTATTCCTCTGAAATTCACAGGTTCTAAAGCATAAATCAATAAGTAACTACATAAATACAATGAAGATTTGAAAGTTTGAATAGCTATCTATAGGAACATTCCTGCTCTATGTTTGACTAAACTATAACAACATCTAACTAACAAAAAAATAAATAAATTATCAATTAGCATTTCTGAGCAAAATTACATAACTAATGAACAATTTCTGTCACATACATTTTTTACAGGGCTTGCAGGGCCAAAAGAAAATATGTTTCAGGCTCTACTACTCCTGTTTTGTACAGCTAGTGCAGGCTAGGACCTCTATGGTGTGCTGCTACTTAGCAGAATGTATTATAAAGGGTGAACTTTTGAAACATTGAACTTTTGCAAATATATCATTTGCAGAAACGTTTGTTATTAATGAATAAAAAAGTATTGCAAACTCAAAGGCTTCCTACATTTACAGCCTGCCATATAGGGGCTAGGGCTATGCTCAGTTGTAGTACAATAATCTGTCTCACTGGATTGTAAAACACTCATTATTATTAATAGTAAAGTTAAATAACTTGTTTTCTTGAGACTATGTTTGAAAAAAAAAAAAAAAAAAAAAAAAAAAAAAAAAAAATATATATATATATATATATATATATATATATATATATATATATATATATATATATATATATATATATATATATATATATATATATATATATAAAATGTCCAAGATAAGCCCTCTCATACTGTATTTAGAGTGAAATTTAAATCCACCAAAAAAACGGTTTGTCTTGTTAATGTGTTGAATTGATTATTCAATACATTATTTTGCACAGAATGCAAGCTACAACAGAAACCAGACCATAGAGGTTAGTACATTTATTAAGGATTTATGCGTTTACTATATGTGGAATTAGGTAATAAACTAAAAATTTTACATCATTATTTAAAAAAAAAAGAATGCAAAAAGCAGAAAGCTGGCATATGGTCAAGTATCACTCCAACCTTCCTTGCTAAAATTGCCCCATGTGAGTCAGAATCTATAAAAACTAGTCAGATAGAAGCTGATTGTGTAATCATGGACCTAAAGTCCTCTGCATCAGGCAAACACTGGAGGAAAATCACCGATTTCTATCAAGGTAATGGTTTTCATCCAAAATCAACGCCCTTATTTATTTATTTTTTGCTTCAGACAGTGTAGACATAGCAATTCTTTAGTGAACCACGTCAGCTTGTTGAGATTCATTTGGTTTATTTCTTTATTTTCTATAAGTACCTAAGAATCATGTGCAGAGAGGATCTGTAGCCTAAACATGTGACTCAGTCAACGCGGCACCTGACAGGATAACACACAGCAGAGGTCTCTGCTCCTTCTGCTTCTGGAAGCGCATTACTGCTGACTGAGGAAGAGGAGGAGGAGGATGGACACCACTGAACAGGGAGCTCAGGCTGAGCCACTGCTGCTATCGGTAAAGAAAACTGCTTTTCTGAATAGATCATCTTTAACTGTCAGTTTGTTTGTGTTAATATGTACAATTTTGGTCCTCTATTGATAAAATAAAGAATAAAGAGAGAGAGAGAGATCGGCTTTTAAAGTACTTTCTTCATTGATGGAAACTGGTATAGACTTTATTAATATTTAGTAGTATTTGTTTTAAACTGCATGTCAGTTTTGATCCACTTTTCAAGACAACGGCTATAAAGGAGTTAGGTCTGAAGTTTATCTCAAACACATCCTCTCAGCTCTGACGTACAAATTGTCTCTGTTAGCATCATGGCTTTGTGGGGATCACTGCTGTTGTTTAGCCATTTTTAACTAACTTGTTGCCATGTTAAGGCAATTGTACATTTGGAAAATTGATTTCGATCTAAGTTTAAAATTTTATTTAAACATTGTCTTCTTTCCCCAATGAGCCATCAATGTAAAAAATAAACTGCAGTAATTACACAAATCATGATGGTGCCACCTCTGTAGGTAAGAGTTGGGACGGTATATGCTACATATCTCCTTTCAGCAACAAATGTAGTTGTGGTCGTAATCACTAAAGACTTTAATTGTATTAAACCGTATGTCAAAACTAAGCTTTGTCCTGGAGTGCATTTTAAACTTCTGAATTTGCTTATAGAATATTTGCTGAGTTGCATTTTAACCCATATTGATACAGGAGACTTTTTAATGTGGATGAACAAAGCAGCACTTAGCTTTATGTACAAGTTATAAAAATGGATGAACAGTAGTTGTGGAAATATGCCATTCTGTTATTTTAATAAAAAAAATATTTTTCTCATAATTGAACACACCTTGTAATATGATAAAGAATAAACATTGTTTTTTTTCTCTTTTTAACCAACATTTTGCAAATGAACATATAAAAACACTTATAGAAGCACTAATATAGTCTCAAATAGTTTAAAAGCCTAGTAATCTTAGTGCATGTAGACTCATGATTTTGATTAAAAAAAAGTGAATTCTCTCACCCATCATTCAGGTATTCAGGAACCAGAGACAATTGTAGTAAAAGAATGTATAAAAATAATTATGTCTGGTATGATATCTCACACTGATAAAAAAGTTACCTCTATTTGTAGAACTTTTGCTAAGATGTACATATTGCTCAAAATGTGTACTTATTGTCTTTTATTTATATCATTGTTTTAGAATCTTTAGTCAGATGTAGTGGGTCAGACTAAATTGAACTAGTACATATGTTGCATCACATTCTTAAACAAAAACACATTTATTCAATCCTGAACTTTTTAAAAATCAGTATTAGAGATAGACTGATTCATCGGATGGACGATATATTTTGTCTATATTTTTTCTTGAATCAGTATCTGCCGTTACACACAGTATATGCATTGGCTGATTCATTAGTGCACTCAGCAGCCATGCCTTGCGATTCTGTGAAGTGCATGTAATGCTGTCTCTCTCCATCTGTATTTATTGTTTTTGTTTCATTTGATTTATTAATAAATGTTTTCTTTTGTTTGAATTTAGACGTCTTTAACATTTGCTATTGTGTCATTTCTATTATGTAAATGGAGGAAATTAAGCAATGTGGGATCAAGATCAACACAAGAATGTCAGAAGTACATATCGGGGATCAGTTGTTAGGCTAATATTAAATCGGTATCAGCCGTAAAACACCTGCATCGGTTTATCTCTAATCAGGATAAGCCTTAATGGTTTAATATATTAGATCTAATTCAGGTGAAAGCCATAGGAGGCTGTCCTCAGATAAATTCATATATACTTATTGGCTCTTTTAATAGTTAGTGAAGAAAAGTGTACATTGCTGTTTATATCAAAACAATTTCTTCCATAAGAGCAAGAATGAGAACATATTTTCTCGTAAGCTACTTTTAGAGCTTTGCCGTTAATGTAATGTTGTAACCCGATCCTGAGAGACCACATGCAATCATGGTAATCTTCCCTATGTTTGCAGAGCAAGAAAAAATCAAATAAAGATTTTATTTGATGCACTTTTAAAGATTAGGATTATGAGAACAGTTATAAATGTTAATTTTTGGCACAACCTGGACTCATTTATAAATGCTTTTTTCCCTTGTAGGTTAACTCTTCATTCGCTTCATCAATCAGGCGAAGAAGCCTGGTGAGTTCTTCCTTGAATTTTTTTCTTTTTGTTTAGGATTTTTATATTAAGCTGAATAAATCTATTGTGAGACTGCTTATTATGATTGTGTTCTGAAAGAAAAAAAAGAGCAATCCACAGCATAAAAACAGAGGACAGAGGATTGACTGAGACATGAGCTGATAGCATTGTTTGGCATGGACCAAGATGATTTGATACTGCGAAAGCTTATCCCCGTGGCTCGTCTTTAGAGGACACAGTGTTTTAAACCGTGCTTCATTTTTATGGCAGACTATTGCTGGGCAGCAGCCATCTAATCTATAATCTCACAATCAGAGAGAAGTGAAACAGTTTTTTGGCTGCTCAGTCACAGATTCCAGTTGTTTGACACAACAGATGGGCATCAGCCTTGATCAGACATGGTGTGAAGCAGGGCAGCAGGAGTTGGTTCAGAGCTTGCCTTATAGACAGTGGCACATTCTGTGAGAACTGGTTTTACTGAGCAAGAAGGAGAAGGAGAGCACATGCATCCCAGTACTTTACAGGTTCCCTGGGGCTTCAACGGTCAGGTAGGGCAAGGTTGAGTCTGGGTCTTGAAATGTGAAATTTGTGTATGCATGCATGGATGTAGTGCAATTGAGAATGTGTATCTGAGCAGCAGAATGTTCCTCTGCTCTGTCTGAGCAACGTAAGCCTGATAAAATCATCGCAATTGGCAATATTTTGCTGTTTGGTGGAATGAGAGCAGACAAATGATGACTTAAAGCTAAAACAAGCCCTTAAATAGCTACTCTAGAGGGGGGAGAGGAGATCACGGTGATTGTACGGAATAAGTATTTGAAAGTAGAATCGTCTAAGGATTACCATGCATTTTGCAGAGCTGCTTTCACTCGTGCCACAGCCATCTGCAGGGAACAGATTCAAGCATGTGTCTCATCCTGTCATATGATGTCCTCCGTGTGCTTTGTTAGTCCACTAAGATATTTTTTTTTATTAAAAGCCCATCATTTATATTTTAAGTAGTGGTTTTTGATATAAAAGGATAGATAAAAGTTGTTTTTGATTACCCCTTTAATCACAGCTCAGGCTGACAGTAGAATAGGAAATGCTATGCTGATGTTCTCACATATCTACCCTTTGAAACAGGTCAGATTGGTGTGGGTCAGAGGTTTTAATGCACTCATCACTAGCATTACTTTTATTGGAACTGTTGCCTATTAATAATATACTTAAACCCTTTTTTTGTTTTCTTTGATGTGATTTTATTTATCTAAATGTAATAAAATATAATTTACTTCATAATTTTAGTGACAATGTAATTTATCCTCATCTGATTTTTTTTGTTTTGGTATTTTATTTTATTCAATCTGAAGAGGCTCACACGGAGATAAGGAGGCATTTAGAGAGTTTATTAACATGAATAAATATTAAGATTTTTGGCACTAAGACCCAAACTGAAGACGTAGAGATGAGCATCGCTAATGATGATAAGAATGGGCAGATATAGAAGTATGGAGACGTCTTTTTCCCAGACACTTGAGATGGAATCGAAGAAGGAGGGGAGCTGGATGGAGTCAGGGGTGGTGAAGGGGCGGAGGGAGGTTGCATCTTGGAGAGTAGACGAAACAATGGATGAGGGGGCTTAGCTTTAGAGTCTTGGGTGGTTATTGGCTGCTGTGGATGCGTAAAGAGCAGAAGAAGAATGGCAGAGATAGACCAGAGGAGGAGATGCAGGTAGAGCTTGACAGAGTCTTCCAGGGTAAATATATGCCTGGGCTCCATTTATTTTCTAAACATATCAAAGACAAAATTGCACATAATATTCAAATTTTTCAACTTGAAAAAACAATGTTAAAGCAGCAACCCTTACTAATGTTTGGTTATTTCTTGACACGATGTATCTCAACCCTGCGCTTTTTGTTGCCATCCACAACTATTTGGGATAATTCTCGAAGGATCACCGCTAATCTTAGAGTTTGTAGAGTTGATTTAAGCTGGTTGGATTCCTGAATTTTACATATAGTTGATCAACTTTCAAAAAGTTTGAAGTAGGGCTGAACAATTAATAACATCTAATCATAAATTATTTCTAAAAAAAAAAAGAAAAAAGCAATTTCAACAGCTCAGCTAACTCAAGATAACCTTGGACTTTACTATAAGGTTTTTTTTTTTAAAGAGGAGAATTTTGAGATTATTCTTAAAAGTAGAGAGGGAATCTTACAACTAAGATTGGGAACTTCTGGTTTTACTGGAGAGCAGCCTGGAATCTAAAAGTTCCAGCTCCCATTCTACTTTTAGAAACTCTAGGAACCACCACTAAACAGTTTAGGAGTAATGTGTTCTGTTACAAACATAAGTATTGATCAGATCTCTGACGCATGAGGAAGCTTTATTATTTACAATTTATGAGAAGTAAACTATTATGTTTGGAAACCTGACCTTAAAACTTTACTTGAATATTTACTGATTATAAGTACAACTGTTCTTCAGAAATAAAATTGGCTTGTCAATGTAGGAAAATAGTTTTGAAGTGTAGTAAACATCTGTCTTTCAATTTACTCTCAAGACCTGGCTGTTCCTTCGTTGCTCGTTAAACACTCAAACCAGGTCCTTTTGAACTAAGACTGTCTGTATCTTGTTCTGAACAATGTTCCTAAATGCATATTGCAGTAGTTTTTGGTAGTTTGTTTGCATTTGGTTAAAGCAGGATAACATAAATTTTGTGGAATATCCCTGAACTCAATCCTGTTGAAAACTTGGGTTTACAGGTGCTGGTCATAAAATTAGAATATCATGAAAAAGTAGATTGATTTCAGTAATTCCATTTAAAAAGTGAAACTTGTATATTATATTCATACATTACATACAAACTCATATATTTCAGATGTTTATTTTGTTTAATTTTGATGATTACAAATGACAACAAATGAAAATCTCAAATTCATCATATCAGAAAATTAGAATATTGTGAAAAGGTTCAAAATTGATGGCCCCTGGTGCCACACTCTAATCAGCTAATTAACTCAAACCACCTGCAAAAGCCTTTAAATGGTCTTTCAGTCTAGTTCTATAGGCTACACAATCATGGGGAAGACTGCTGACTTGACAGTTGTCCAAAAGACGACCATCGACACCTTGCACAAGGAGGGCAAGACACAAAAGGTCATCGCTAAAGAGGCTGGCTGTTCACAGAGCTCAGTGTCCAAGCACATTAATAGAGAGGCGAAGGGAAGGAAAAGATGTGGTCGAAAAAAGTGTACAAGCAAGAGAGATAACCGCACCCTGGAGAGGATTGTGAAACAAAACCCATTCAAAAATGTGGGGGAGATTCACAAAGAGTGGACTGCAGCTGGAGTGAGTGCTTCAAGAACCACCACACACAGACGTATGAAAGACATGGGTTTCTGCTGTCGCATTCCTTGTGTCAAGCCACTCTTGAACCACAGACAGCGTCAGAAGCGTCTTGCCTGGGCTAAAGAGAAACAGGACTGGACTGCTGGTGAGTGGTCCAAAGTCATGTTCTCTGATGAAAGTAAATTTTGCATTTCCTTTGGAAATCAAGGTCCCAGAGTCTGGAGGAAAAGAAGAGAGGCACTTCATCCACGTTGCTTGAAGTCCAGTGTAAAGTTTCCACAGTCAGTGATGGTTTGGGGTGCCATGTCATCTGCTGGTGTTGGTCCATTGTGTTTTCTGAGGTCCAGGGTCAACGCAGCCACATACCAGGAAGTTTTAGAGCACTTCATGCTTCCTGCAGCTGACCAACTTTTTGGAGATGCAGATTTCATTTTCCAACAGGACTTGGCACCTGCACACAGTGCCAAAGCTACCAGTACCTGGTTGAAGGACCATGGTATCCCTGTTCTTAATTGGCCAGCAAACTCTCCTGACCTTAACCCCATAGAAAATCTATGGGGTATTGTGAAGAAGAAGATGCAATACACCAGACCCAACAATTCAGAAGAGCTAAAAGCCACTATTAGAGCAACCTGGGCTATCATAACACCTGAGCAGTGCCACAGACTGATCGACTCCATGCCACGCCGCATTGCTGCAGTAATACAGGCCAAAGGAGGCCCAACTAAATACTGAGTGCTGTACATGCTCATACTTTTCATGTTCATACTTTTCAGTTGGCCAACATTTCTATAAATCCTTTGTTTTTATTGGTCTTCAGTAATATTCTAATTTTCTGATATGATGAATTTGAGATTTTCATTTGTTGTCATTTGTAATCATCAAAATTAAACAAAATAAACATCTGAAATATATGAGTTTGTATGTAATGTATGAATATAATATACAAGTTTCACTTTTTAAATGGAATTACTGAAATCAATCTACTTTTTCATGATATTCTAATTTTATGACCAGCACCTGTATACGGGGAACAGACCAACCAGCTCAGAAATCTTGGCAGAATTATGCTAGAAGCTATTTGAAGGCTACAAAGAATGAATAGTTTCTCTGCAAATTGCTAAAGACACATAATCAACACATTTAAGTCTGTGTGGACTATTCTGACTCCATGTTTATTAAAAACTTCGTGCTCTACCTATATTAATACTTGTCTTTGCTTCTCTCTATAATTTGTCATTTCCTGCTAATATATTTAGTTGTTTCATGGTCCGCACACCAGCTTAGTTTTATATATATATATATATATATATATATATATATATATATATATATATATATATATATATATATATATATATATATATATATATATATATATATATATATGTAACGATGTAACGGCTACGATTCAAAGAAAGACACCTTTTTCTGGAAACTCTCGGTTCGCCAGTGTTCAGAGCAGCACTGGATGTAACGGATGTAACGGCATAGCATGAAATATATATATATATATATATATATATATATATATATATATATATATATATATATATATATATATTTCATGCTATGCCGTTACATCTTTCTTGATACTTTATTCTATTTTAAAGAATTCATTTTTATTTCTTAATACTTTTATCATAGTAAGATGTTCATAGATAAGATAAAAAATGTTATCTACTTAATCAGCTTCAGTATATTTAAACTTGTGTACCCAATTCTTGTTTTGTAAATTACTAAAACTATTTCAGTTTCTATCAGGATAATATGAAAAACCAACAGCAAAAAATCTTTATCTGACAGAAGATAATTATCTGTGCTTTCATATTGTTTTGGAAAAATCACCTTGATTGTTGTTTTGAGCTATTTGTCTCTGGATGTGACTGATTATGGCACACTAATCTTTTGTGGAAAAAAAAATAAATAAAACTGAGGGTTGAATATTTTCCCTCTATGCGAAAATGTGAGCATGAATGTGATTATGTAGAAAAGGTCTGGTAGTTAAGTATGAGATACGGACAGTTTTAATCTGACCAGGAATGTTTATCCATTTCCTGTAGTCCAGATTAGGAGCATCAGGCTAGCCCATGTGGCGTAGCAGCTGCGAACAGCAGCTTTCTTCATTAAAATAATGCCTCGATGGTCAAATGGTGGTCAAGATGGCTCCGGAAAGAGCTTTTAGGATAAAGTACCTGCTGTGATAAGTGCTTTG